GAGTTTACCAGAGACTGTTATACATATCGATCAATGAACTTTTTCAGCGCGTCTGTTCATAAATCTTGAGGCTTCCAAACTAGCAGTTTACTGTCTCTTAATAAGCTATGGGCATTTTCTTTAAACGAATATTTAGTGCTTGTGGCTAATGGCACGGAAATCGAAAGAAGCACCTCGTCATAAGACTCATGGTAAAGTAGTTACCATTGAAAGGCTACCAATTATCAAACTCTATAGATGACCAACATCTCCTCTCCTCCCCACACCCCCCCATCCAACGGTTAGGAAGAGATCATCTACATTAATCCCGAAAAAAGCGTCGTGAAATATGCTCATTTACCGCATAGGTATTGAACTTATGGAAGGTACTCTTGGGCTTAGAACCTCGATGCCGAACGGATGACACTGTGAAATATGTAAAAACGAAGCGCGTTCATAAAAGTAGGACATCAGAGATGTGATGTATATGTCGTTGGCCTTCTAAATAAAGAGTGACATTCATTGTGGCATACGTCTAGATTTCTCGATCGCAAGATATAAGAAAGTGAAGGAGCCCTCCATTCGATCAGAGGTCTAAAAATTTGGCATTACATGATCATAACCACACATCAGCGTCGTGGGAAAGAGTTTTGTTCGAAAACAACTTACGTGGCGTTGAAACTCAATTTCCCTCTATCATTACCAAACACCATTCTCTGCTGAAGTTTCAGGACTATATCCGCAATGCAAGAATGGTTGTTTCATGCTGTTCCGCGTTTTTCAGGGCCAGTCTGCATACACTTACCTCAATGGTCAATGTGTGGCGCCCTCATGGCCGACATATGTCCTTCCACTGTTCATAACATGTGCGTTGAGTCAGGTGACTCATATCATTTTGCAGTTAATACATGCAGCGATGTATTCGCCTTCACATTCGCCATTTCATTCACGACATTTAGCAATTCCCTGGCGATGACGTATTTTATTGTTATGGTTGACCCATGCCCTTCCCATGCTCGTAGCCGGCACGTGATAGCATGGATCCTTGTTACGGTAGACCCGCTTTCCGATTTCATATTCATATCATCACGCAGTACGGAAATGACCGTTCTCTAGGCGCTGATGGTAAAGTATAACTTTTAGCAATATGCGTCTCTCCCGCAACAAATGTTGTTTGCTTTGCATCGCCAACTACCGGTTAGCAGGATGGCATGAAAACTTGAAGCTGTTGGAAAGGAACTCAGAACAATGTGACTTTGCTATAAAAGTTTATAAAAACTACTGAAAGAAAGAAATGAGGGTTTGAGATTGAAGTCAGACATCATGTTATGATTATGAAGGTCAATATTTGGTGTCGATCTGCCACTCACCTTAAATCGAAATATTTTGTATGCATGAGGCGGCTAACTACCTTATAATTAATTGTCCTCTGACGATGCTACAGCGTGCGTAGTTAGACGCGTTGGTAACAGAATGATATCATCTGTGTTGTTGGGTGTTCTCATCCATACATCGGCATAGCATGTGCAGTTCCAGCAAAGAGCCAAAAATCGGACAATTTATATTGCATTTATGATGCTACTACTCCAAGGTTCTTACTTGCTGCTGATTCGCCTAATTCATTAATTTTAAGATATACCTGCGAACGTTATGTATATTAGAAGAGCATTAATAGTTTTGTTTATATTTGAAACACCTAACAAAATTTTTCTCACATTACTTTTTGTGTTAAATTATTATAAGGCAGACTCAATAAATCACTGGGCCACCTCCCTACTCCCAGTTACTTCCTAAATTTTTTCTAAGTTTTCGATCGTGTACTCATGAACCGAACCCTTCAAACTTTTTACCCCATTGGATGATGCATATACCATATCTTCTTCTTCATTTGTTTGTACGTTACACATTATATGAATACTGTTCCAACGTAGAAATCATGACCTATCTGCTTTCAGCTCGCTTGCCCATTTGTCATCAGTCACTGAGTTTGGCAGTGACACCTGTCGCTCGGTCAAAGGCATGAATAAAAGACAAGTAAAGCTTTGTCGCCAGAACCTTGAGCACATGGCGAGCGTGAAAATGGGTGCCTTCATGTCCGTACTCGAATGCCAGTTTCAGTTCCGGCAACGACGGTGGAACTGTAGCGTCGTCAACCACAATTCCATGTTTGGCAACGTGTTGCAACTAGGTGAGATACAGTGTGACTTTGATGTGTAGGTTGCATGTGATCAGCAGGTACTATTTTCAGGTACGAGGGAGACCGCGTTTGTACATGCAATTTCGGCTGCGGGCGTTGCCCACACGGTCACCAAGGACTGTAGCAGCGGAAAACTGGAGAAATGCGGCTGTGATCGAAGCATAAGCGGGTTCAGCCAACAAGGCTTTCAGTGGGCTGGCTGTTCAGACAATATCCATTACGGAACCGCATTTTCACGTCAGTTTGTTGACGCTCACGAACGACGGAAAAAGCGGCATCTGGATCGCATCCTCATGAACCTGCATAACAATGAGGCAGGGAGGAAGGTAATTTAAATGAAACAATCTCTCTTATTATCGATACGAAAATTATGAATTTTTCGTTTATGAATTTACATAGTAGTACTAGTACCGCATGATAGCAACAGATGTCAAACTCCGTTTAGAGCATTGCCACCTTAGGTCTAAGTTCAGACAGTTCTATTTAACCGGATATCTCAGATTTTGACCATACAAGTCGCGATGGGATTGATTTTCCATTCCCGGATATATTAATACATCACTGGCCCAACAGACCTTTGCTAGTCTTGCCTATGGTCCGTAATTCACAAGATTTCTATGTTACTCAATTAGTAAAGTTTCGGCTTGCAGAAAACGATTATGGATTCTAAAACTGATCATGTCAGCCGTCTAACATCCTTCTGAAATAAACAGACGAGTAACGCATTAAATGAATGAGTGACGGAAGAAAAAAATGGAGCAACAAATGACTGAATGAGTGAGTGAATAAATAATTTTGCTAGCGGAATCAGAAAGCTGCGATTCTCGGCAGCTGACCCAGAATATGAGTGTTATAATATTTAATCCGAATCAGTATTTCCTTCCGTGATTAGAATCACCTACGAATCGCATCTTTCGCCACAAGTAGGAAGGATTTTAGTATTTGTGAGAAAAAAACGGAAAAATATGCGCTGTAGTGGCTATCAAATTGCAATGTAGCCTTCAGAAAACACGACTGTCGCTTCTGACGCCACCGTAGCAAAGAGTAACATGCTGCATGGAAATAAGATTCGCCAAAAATGCAGCCGGTCATGGTAGCATGCCGGAAAGCGGCCTCCTAGCAGTTATTAATTTTTTCTTTACTTTCTTCAAGACCTTGCGAAGCAACGTCCTCTATTGTGAAGAATGCTGAAAAGAAAAAAGCGCTTGACAAACCATGAAGAGGTAGCGTTTCGATTCCGCCAGGAATTACACTAAGTGGACATCCTCATGCGATCAGCACAGCGTCACCTATGTTTAGACAGACAGGCCAATGTCAATTAATACACAAGCTTTCGGATCACGTGACTCGAATGCCGTCGAAGTGTTTTCGTTTCGTTATGTAATGTGCCCTTCGTCGTTTCTTGTAGTAAATTACAGTAGAATCAGGTTTGACCTCTGCAGTGTACTCGAGTCAAAACTACTCAAGAATCGTCATCCTTTCTTATGCTAGAAGAGTCCTAGTGAAAAATTTCATTAAATTTTCTCCAAACAGAAGTACTAAGGAGTGGCTACCTAGAATCGAGGGAAACGAAGTTGATGGAAGGAACATTCTGCCTCTCATAATAAGGGTACGACACATCAAGTGAGTATATATTAGCATATGAGTAAATACAAAAACTATGTAAAACAAAGTATAATTTTCTTTAAATGTCCTTAGCGCCTTTGATGCCATAAGGATTCTGATTTTAGATGTTTTACCAGAAGAGTTTCTCGATTTGTGTAATTCGTCATTTACATTGACCAATTTTTACCTTTCTTTAGATGTTTTACATGTCGCTTTGATTAATTAGTTAATTACATGTGCATCAGACTTTACATTGCATACTATCTCAACAGATTCCATTTTTAATGCCGGTATCTACCGCAAGGTACCTCGAACCTCGAAGAAATTCTTGCTTTATATGCCTACGTGGTCAAAGAGAATGGTTCAGAAGAAGTTGGTGAGGTTCGGAAGTGAAAACTTTCGAATGAAGCTGTGCACTCAGCAATGGGAAATTGCTTCTGGCTCTTGATGACGGACGTTTTAATATATTAAGTCAAAAATACGCTGAAAGTTTCAGCATGAACCAAAAACATGCTTATATAACTTTTACGCCATTTCGCCTGATGATCATTAGGAGTCTCTGCTGTATACATAGTTTTGTTGCCTTGTTACTCGTTACTGTTATTTTTGACATTCTTACATATATGTCATGTACTCTATGACTTTGATGTGCACACAAATATGTACATGTGATTGGAAATTGTGTAAGCTAACGCATGAGTCGAAACTCGACCATTGCAAAAGGTAGATGCCAGTATCCCTGAAGACTTTCAACTATGGATGAGGAGGTGGATTAATTTTGTCGTAAATTGAATTGTTGAAAAATGTATTGTACAACCCTCCATCATTGGCATGCTGAACCCACGTATAACTTTCCTATTGGACTACTTGGGGAGGCACATAGAAAGTTCTTGTGACAAGTACCTGAAAACTGCTTTCTGTAGATATTTTCATAAACTCGCGTTATCAATTTCATCACTGCGACTCAGTTGCTGATTATATGACACATGGAGCGAACAACCCGATTTAATACGGAACAGTTGCACCCCGCCATTGCCGATGATCACCGTTTCTTGATAACGCTGTCCTTTCGCTGCTGGTGATTGCAGTATAATTGTTACTGCCAAAAATGACAGTGTGTAAATTCCGGTATGGACTGAAATTGATTTTTGATTGTGTCTAAATCCGGGATTACTCACTCGATGATAGAGCGTCGAACTCAGAACTGGGAAGTCACGGGGTCGAGCACCGCCCGAGTCACTTTCCCTTCTTCCTTCCTTGCGAGGTAGACAAATGAGTACCCTTCTATGGAAAGGAAAGAAGAAACTGCGTGTTATACTTGCCACATGGTTCGAGATTCTGTCTTTAAGGGGAAAGTGAGGCTCGCATGGCTGGTGACATTGAAACGATGATCAGCGCTGCACCATAATCCCCATGAAATGAAGGGGGCCATATACAGTCCCACTCATAAAAGTGCAGCGATGATCGACATCCTAACCGTTACAAATTTCCCTTTTTCCTTTCCTTTCACTGCAAGTCGGTAATATTGTTATTTTACTGGATCTTTAAGACCCCCTACCCCTGCTCATTATTCTTTCTTTGTTGCCTGCGTATATAAGGCATTTAAGTTTAGGGGGTAGTTTTGATGTAGGCGGTGATATGACGAAAATTATGCATTACCTGTCTGTACTGAAAAGCAAATTAATTTCAGTCCATACCGGTGTTGACTAAAATGTGAGTTACTTTATGATTCTACCAGTGCGACACCTTTCATCTTCTCCAAAGCTGCGGTATGCTGATGGAATTCAACGTATTGCACTACAGTAGAACTTTTTTACATTCCGCTTTGATAGTCGTCGGATCCTTTGTCTGTCTCCGTCCTCCACCTTGAAAGAAAGGAATGCGAGAAGTGCAAGCGATGCAGAAACCTTTCTTTATCTCTCGTGCTCGGTTTTATTTTCCTCAAAGGTGTTGTTTGCTGAACCACATGAGCAGAGGTGCTGGTACACCTAACCTCGATTATGCTCTTCTGGTCCAGTGGTTTTCTGATAGCTGAGACGACTTCTAATATTGCACAGGGTTCGAATATGATGTTCAGACCGACTTTAGACACAGTGCATTAAAAAAACAATATCATATCCATAAAGCCAAGGAAACGCAACTGATTCACACAACCAGCTAGGTCAGGGCATTCATCACCTTGACGCAGATGTCAGCAAGATACGGACGTCATATATTGGCTCTCAACAACGACGGTGTGGCACAATCAATGAGAATGACTCCGGACAAATCTAACTGTAATTTCGAAAGCGGACTGAGTTTGGTCTGAAACGTCGGTATCGCTATAGAATGTTTTAAATTAAGGATTTTATGACTTCCAATTCCGTTGATGATTCTACGAAATGCGTCATTGATTTAATATAAATAATTATGACGGAATAAATTTCAGTAGCAAAATGTCAAAATGACAATTTTCATCAAATTTATTTTTTGAGACTTTTCCGTAGCAGTCAAAATTGTCCCTGTGATTCCAAATTTGGTCGAAACCCGATTTTTGCGACCCAATGAAAAGCAGTTGGAGTGATTTCGTGTATACCGAATTGTATTCATAAATGTATTTGTCTTAGTTAACTTATTAGTAACCTAGATATTTGCGTATTTATGCGAATGCATATATAACCTTATTTACCTACCCAATCTCTTTATTTACCATCTATGCCTAGTTCCTTGCTTATTTAGCTAATCAGACTCATGCTTGCTGTTGTTTATTTCTTGTTGATGTACTGAAACAACCAGTGCTTGAGGAGAATCTTTTATTTACTCTCAAGAACTCATGACGCGGGTTTGTCGGTTTTACTGACATTGATACATTGTGCGAAAGTTGAACAGCATATAACAAAAAATATAATTTATAGAGCATCGAAAAGAACATGCGGATCCAGTGTAAATGCCACGGCGTTTCCGGATCATGCGAACTTAAGACGTGTTGGCAAGCGATGCCGCCGTTCCGAGAAATCGGCTATATTCTGAAAGAGAAATTTGACGGTGCCACCGAGGTGAAACTCGCTTTGTTTAATAGTCGCCATTCACTTGTGCCCTCCAATAGTCAATTTAAGCCTCACACCGTCGAAGACTTGGTCTATTTGCATGAGTCCCCGGATTACTGTGTTTCGAACAATGCCACGGGCACCGTGGGCACTCAGGGACGAGTGTGCAACAGAACCTCAAAGGGAATCGACGGCTGCGAACTGCTGTGCTGCGGTCGCGGCTACACGACCCGAATCGAAAAACGCATCGAACGGTGCCAGTGCAAATTTCACTGGTGCTGCTACGTGAAATGCAAACAGTGCGTGCAAACCGTCGAAGTCAACATATGTGCATGAATGTATTTAATTTTTTATAGCCACCGTCATTCGTCGTCTGTTACCAAATAAACGTGTACATTACGCTTTTTAATATTACGTTTTCCAATAGCGCATAAATCGCCCAATATCATATTTCACCGCCTATTGAGCCACTCCTTGCTCTCACGTACTCTGTGATGGGGGGGGGGCAAGTAAGCATGTCGCGCTCTACAGTATTTGCGCACCTCCAGAGTCGATGCATCTTACGTAAGTTTCTTTGCCAGAGCCACCTCGCCTCATTACAAACGAAGTTTGAGGAGCTTGCACTGAATACATGTTACCGCACGGATATCAAAATGTATCTGAACACCGGAGAATGTCAGATAACGCATAACTCCTCCAAGACCAGATGTAACGGCATGTTGACCTCACCCTCGCTCCTAATTGCTTAAGGGTGCTATTTCAGCAGACATATATATATAAACGGCGAAGGTACGGTGTAAAAAAAGAAAAATTAATTTCTCACTTTACACCAGCAGCTCTGCTGCACTGTCCTCTTGCTTCTAGACGCCTAGGGAGACCATTCAAGCAGGCCACGACTCCACGGTATTTAAGCGCCTGCAGTGCGTACGACGCAAAAGTATGTTCAATTAAAGAACATCGCCACGATGCGTAGGCGAAAGAGTGTCGAAATGGAACCGCGATGTTGTGGGGGACCTTTCGATACCATCGCTGATTTTGTCAAAGCAATTTTGATCCCATGGTTCGCCTTCGCATGATAACCGAAGATGACCGATGGTCAGCATACAACTTGGATGAACGTGGTAGAGGCAGATCCGCGCGCAAACGGAAGCTCTTTCATCTGCAATGTAGGAACATCGTATCATAGCAAAGTGTTGAAAAGTAGAAGCACTATACTTTACAAACAAACTGGGGACATTTTTCGATTCAAACGGCTGAGCCTGATTCTCACGACGAATAAGCACATTTCCCTCATGTTTCTTGACTTACGGAGTCTAATACAAGCTCAAACGAAAAGACTGGTGGAAGCCGTATTAATTAGCGCATTAATTGTGCTGACTAAGGCACTGCGAAAGAATTTTGTCTTGTCGAGGGCTCAAGAACAAGTGTAGTGTCCACATCGATTAGCCTAGCTGTGCGGAAAAACATTCCAACACTCTCAAGAATCAGAAACCTATGATGGAGGATTGTTTTGGCATTAATCGTCAGCAATTGGGTACATAGTTAAGAATGAAATCCAAAACAGTTACTCATCGATTAGTACACATTCGAGAGTTGCTCATGGACAGTTCATCCAAGGAATCGACTCAGCAATGTTGCCTGTGAAGGTAGACAAGACCAATTATCATATGAAGCACAATTTCAGGTGGTTCTTAAAAATGCCTTTTCTACTTTAACGGTTGGATTTGCCAGCAATAGTATGTGATTTGCACAGGACTTCTGATCGGTCACGCATTTGCGGATCTACGCATGGCCACAGTAACTTTAATGCTGAAAAAATAACCACCTTTGTTGGAGCTTAAGATGCACGATGTTCAGGTAAAATTTATTCATTGACGTTAAGCACCCTCTAATCATTTCAAGACAAAAATTTTTAAGTATGAAAGATTACTGATCGGATGAAATCACCAAAGAATCCCTCTTTTCTGCATGCATAAAATATAAACAAACCCTGAAGATAAAAACAGAGTTCATTACGATCGAAGAAAGGAACAGCTATGTCTTTAACTATCGAAGTTCGAATTTCGGAAAATCCTTTACCGGATGACCCCATATATCGAATTAATTATATGCATATTTTTCAACGAGCCTGATCATGCTCGATCTGTCTTCAGAAGGAGACGTACAATCAAACAGAATGTTACAGTAGGCATCGGCACAGTGAAATAGCAACTTCATTATTGAGTCTTTGTCCTGGATAGTTGAAGTTGCTTCATAACTTCCTTCCCATACGTACTTAGTTCCGTACCAGCCTGTTAATCCATGCATCAGTTCGATTGAAATATTAAGGCTTCATTGAACTTCCATCTTCGAAATTTTCTCTCTATGTATTCCGTTCATCATTTGGCTCCATAGCATGCAGGGGCAAGTGACACAGCCGCTGCGATTTTTCGCACTCACCCACCACCTATGAAATTTTTCGTTTTTCTTCGCCTTCTTCTTTCCCTTTATATCTATTTTGACGTAAATCCGCGTTGTACCAATTTGCTGGGTTATCAGTATGTTCCTTCGTCCTCTATTGTATGGGGTTGCAAGTTCGTCTCACAATGTACTGCATAGATCCAGCCTGGTTCTTGGACTTTGATAAGATGATTTTGACAATCATCATCTGGCCTTGGTTGTTTTCTGAGATCTGAACATCAGGAGGATTTAACTCCTGCTAATTCACCTCATTCCTCTTAAGGAGCAAAAATACAATTGGACACTACTCAACTTAGAAGGTGTCACGACAGAGAACATATTGGAAAAAATTTATTGAAGCCATAAATTTAGTGTTTACCATATGTCCAAAATGACAGAACACAACAATGTGGTCATTTCGTTTGTTTCTAAATTGCATAGCAGGTCCATATCGATCGGTAAGCCAATCGGTCGAACGCAAACTGATGTGACGCTACAAACGATCGGACAAAGAAATTCCAAGCGATCCTTCTTGGATTGCGCTCATAGCGCACAAATTCTAAAATGAATGGATTAATAGAAGCGATTTCTGCCTTCTGTGACTTCAGGAAGTACTGTAGTCGACTATGTGACTCACCCGAAAGGCATCCAATGAACGTCAAGGATATTACCCTGAGTTCCCCTTGTCATAGACGTTCGTCCAGTCGTCTGAGAACACGTTCTAACTGTCGAGTGGCAAAATTTCTTGGCCGACAGTGGTGGCAGAAAGCGGAGAACAAAAAACGCTGGACCGGCATCGAAGTTGCATTTATGGTGTACCCATAACGAGAGCAAGTCGGATAATCGCATGACAGATTCGGTTTTTATTAATAAGGTACTGTAGTTACTAATTTTCAAGACGTGACTATTTCGTACTGTAGAAGCGGCGAATCACGTGGTTTAATGGGATCACGAAAAAAGTTATGCCATCACTAACTAATCAGATTTTCATGGGGAAACCCTTGACAAAAGTTGCTTTATCTGAGAGCTGCACCAAAGGTTCAGAAACATCCTTAAGCTGATTTACATTGGCTTAGGAGTATTAATTCCCGGAAGCGCTGAAAAG